ATTCTCTTTGAACAGGCTTCTTCTTTCTTCTGGTTCCTAAGCCTGTTTATTCTCCGTTTCTCGTGTATGCACCAGTATTAGAAAAACGTAACACATTCGATAACATCGGTCGTCTCGAAGGTGCATCGTCCAGTGGATCGTTCAGTATATCACTTCGTATACGGTCGCCTTCTTATCACCTGACCCAGTCACTATGTATTTATCGTCGGTGGAGATGTCGCAACTGAGCACCGACGAAGACTCCTTCGACTGTAATAAAATTAAATTATTGTAAAATTATTATATTTCACTTGAGACGTTATATACTGTAATTAAGCGTCGATTCTTATATTAAATAATTATTCGAAATTTTAATTGAAATTTTCGCAGAGTCGTTCATCGGGTAACCGTAATCTTTTATGCAATTTGAACCCTTTCAATAGGCACACTAAAAATGAAGGACATAAAAACATATCGTCTCTTTTTGCAAAAATAATCTGAGTGCAAAGGGTTAATCATTTATGCTACCAAAGAGTCATGGACATTCGACAGCGGTTGTCCAAGTGTTAACACTTTGAGGATGCACCAAAAAATATAAAAAATATACAAACATCTAAATCGACAAAAAATGTTATCAAATCCTTCGAAGAATTGAGAGAAACTCTTCACGTGCACCCAATCTTACCTGGAATATCGAGGCACCATACGGTGTACGCCACGCGTTCAGCAAATTGTCCTTGCCGGTAGAGACGAACCATTTGCCGCAGGTAGCGAAACGTAACGAAAGTACACAAGACTCGTGCAAATGAAGCTGATATTTGTCCGGTTTCGTGGCGTGCAGCACCTCGACGTTCGAGTTCTCCATTCCCACCGCAAGCCACTCGCCGGTCGGACAATAGCCGAGCGAGAATATCTGCGAGGTGAAGTCGTGTTGCTGAAGTTGCCTGCCCTCTCGAAGATCCCACGAGCGCACGGTATTGTCCAATCCGCCGGTCCACAATTTCGAACCGTCCGCGGATATGTCGATGCAGGAGGCACCGTCCGTGTGACCTTGGAATTGCCTGACCAGAGACTGACTCTGCAAATCCCAAACGGCGATGTTACCGTCGCTGCAGCAGCTGAAGCAAACTTTCGAGTCCGGCGAGATGGCCAGAGCGTAACATGCCGGCGCGTTCGAGGTCAGTTCCGCCTTGATCCTCGGCGTTGGACTCGCCAAATCCCAGATACTGAGGTTGCTTGCTTCGCCGCCTACTATCAGGGTTCTCCCGTCTGGTAGCAGTTTCACCGATCTGTTTATTTGAAAAAAGAGAGAATGAGAATGTTTCTGCTTGACGTTAGAAAGCGTTAGAAAGTGAATATAGCCTTTCGTTTGCTGTTTAGCGCATTCCGCGACAGGTTCCGGAAATGGAACTTTCGTCAAATGGAAAAAATTATTTTTAGACTGGATGTTTGTGCGAGGTTTGCAAAGGGAGGTTAGAGTGTCAGGAATTCAATCTTTAGCGATATTTTTTCATAATTAAATATTTTCGTGTGATTTTTTAATTATCACCGTGACACTAATTGGTGCTTCGTTAAATGGAGAAAATGATTCTTCGACTGGATGTTTGTGCGAGATTTGCGAAGGAAGATTAGAGCGATATTTTTCTGTTATTATGTGACTTTTTAATTCGGTTTCAATGCTTTGGTAAAACTTGGGACTGTCACTGCGGTGCGAATTTTTCACCCCAAACTTGTCACCCCCTGAATTCGCGTCAAAGTCGAAAAATATTTGAAAGAAAAATCAAAGAAATTTGACAGATTTTATCGTCACGAACTTCCAGCGACGATCTAATATCCCAACGTCCCCGTGTTACACATCGACACTTGGAAAGACACAAGCACTTCTCCGTCGCATTAATCATGCTGAATACTGTCAGTCAAAGTTCAATATTGGTCACCGCCCAGCACAAGCCGGTCGAACGATGTTAAGTGCAATCTCAGGCCACAGTCAATTTCAAAGCAATCAATATTCAAAGGCAAGGATAAGCGGTCGCCTAACATCGTCTTGTGCTTCCTCTAGTCGCTTAAGCGGCGGCGCGTGTTCTCCTCCCGGGAAGGTCCAAAATTGCACATATCGAGGAGGCAAGGAAGCAAGCAACACGCACCGCGGAGTCGAGCAAATGAGACCGCAATGGCGTCGGTGGTTATAGGGGCGCGCGCGGGATAGAGAGAGTGTAGAGCTAGGAGGCTAATCAGAATTTATTCAGCGGCGAATCTCGCGTTTGCCAGACGGCGTGGAAAGTTAATGCGACGTTGTGCGAACGTAACGTTTAACCAACCTGATGTAGTTGTCCCGTTGCAGGCAATCAAGCTGCGAAACGTGTTTCGCGCTACCGCTGCCGCTCTGATTGATGTCCCAGACCTTGACGCATCCTTTGCCACCGGTGTAAACGTATTTAGTCGGATTCGAGATCGTTACAGCGCACACCACCTCCCCGTGTGTCAGAGTATTTATCTGGCGTGCATGACGTGGTATTCCTTGTCCAATTAGAGCATCGTGCGGGAACGGAACCGGCTGCATTTGCCCCTCGCTCGATACATGGAAACTGTACGCTCTGCGAAGCAAAGAAATTCGATGGTTTTTATTTTTACCCCGGGTCTCTGCTTATATATAGCGAGATGGTTTCGTTGATGGACGAGGCGGATGATTTTTTTTCCCTTTCTTTATTCCAGGTACGTGTTTACACGTACGCGATGATACATCCTTGAATGGGTTATTCGGATGATTACACGCTGGTTAAAGACGCGTGGGGATTGTTTAGAGCGGTAAAGAGGATATTACACGTGGTCCTTGTGAAAATTTCCTTGGTTTAAGGACGAAAAAAAAAGTATGGAAAAGATCCAGCGCGACGATCCGGACGGTCCTTAAAAAATTTTCGCAAAATGTGCTCAGGCGAATGTGAACCCTTCGATTCTTCAACAGTAACCTGTAATTTAACGCGAGAAAACTCCGAATTTTCCAACACCCGACTAATTACTTACTAGATAATTTTGCTAATAATTACCAATTTTCTTAATTATTGTAAAAAAAAAGAGAGATCTCGTGTTCTTAATATTTCTGTCGATTAAAAAATAATTCTCCAGACTATTCAGATTAGGTATACTCTGCATCGAACGATAAAATGCTGGTTACTCGAGATTTATCGTTGAAAAGGAACGTGTGGATGCGTTTAAGAGAGGAGTCCATCGAAGGACTAAGGAAAGCACTTACGGTTTGCCACCGGGTACACCGAGAGGTCCAAGAGGTGCCCTCATGCTTCCGTGAGGATCGTACAGTTGCTGAAGAGGCGGTCTTGCGGGATATCCATTCAGGGCAGGAGGATAACCCAACATGTCCACATGAGGTCCTGCGGGCGGATGATGTGGCGGCGGATAGTGTGGCGGATAAGGGCCGACCGCCGAAGCCGAGACCAGTGGTTTACTGGAACTCGATGGTTTCAGACCACCGGACCCGGAGCTGCTACCACCTGTCGACCATACATTCATCGTCAGACTTGCTAAGTATTTTCCATCACCGTGATTGATGTGAGAATCACGAATACGGTAGTAACTCGCTAAAATCTCGCTATCTAAGAGAACAAGGAAAAAGTACAAATGAATTCCTCTCTTCCATGGCGGTCCTTCGTTTTCTTAAATACACAGTCAGTTAGAAGTATTTCATTTTTAGTAACAGTCTACACAACGAAGGGAATAAAAAAATAATTAAACTTTCATGGTAACGATACTGTGCTTCTTAAAATATCAAAAAATGCGTCGAAATTTTTGTTTTCACCCTGAAGGACGAGAAGAGGAAAATATTACCGAACACTTTCACCAAGGTTTCCGTACGAACCTACAAATTTTCGGATTAGCAAAATTCCCTTAGAAAAGTCCTTCAAAACATCGTTCCTTTTGCAATTCTCTTTTTTCGACTACCGCTTCAGCGACCACGTAATAAAAAAAAAGAAGGAAAAACAAGAAGAAAAAGCTAACGAACCCGCTGACGTAGGTGTGACAGGTTTGGAGATCGGTGTGGTCGGTTTCTCCCGTTCCTCCATCTTCTTAGCCGAGGGCGTGCTCGCGTTGCTGCTTGTGCCACTCCTTGGCGAGGGTGGCGGCACTTCCTTCTTCACCTGGCTGCTCAAAGGCACCGAGGACGGACCGAGCTTGTCGAGGCCGTTCTCCCTTGGCGACGAGGTACCGTTCGCCGTAGGACTCGTCGGTCCTTCGCTCGCGTCGTCCACCACCAAGTCTTGGTCGCTCTTTTCACCATCGCTTTGCTGTTCGAGGAAAACGGTATAACGGTTTCATTTCGAGGAATACCATCGGTGAACAGAGCATGGAGGACATTTCTGGATACATACATGGCCAATATCTTTGTCCTGTTCTTTCTTCATCTTCTTCAGAGGGAGGTGATCGTGGTGCTGAGGATCTGGTGATCGCGGCCTGCTGTATTTTTCGCGTTCCGCTGGCGATATCGAATTTCTCTGCAACACGAATAGATGGGAGGAGATGTAACAAATGTTTCTATTTCATTTCTAATTTTTTGAGAATTTTTTAGTTCTACTTTACAATATTTTAATGTAATTTGAATTTTTTTTAATTGTGGGTTAAAGGAACAAATGTTTCCATTTTATTTCTAATTTTTTGAGAATTTTTCCTAGAAGAGAAATTGTTGTGATTTAAAATTTTTTGAATTATGGGTTAGAGGGATCTCCCTTGGGAATTCTATGATTGACGATCTTCTTAGAGTTCGTATCAATTGTGTATTGTGAACGTAACCCGATATTCCCATTCGGAGTACTTCGAATCAGCTACAAGAACCACTTATACAACTTCAAACAGAAAGAGCAAATATTTTCCGCTGCTATTCGCGTCGAATCCATCGGAATCGTTCTTCTCGATATCGTTTATCAGGAGACCGCAAACACACCGTACGATAAAAGTAATCGCTGTCAGGTTGCGTAACGCAAGCATCGATACGTGCATCTGCCGGAAGATGATGCGCCTTTATGGAAAAAGGAGAGAGAGAGAGAGAGAGAGAGAGAGAGAGAGAGAGAGAGAGACGAGGTCGAAGGGTGACGTGAAACGAGCATCGAAGCTTTATCGTGCAAAAATCTACTGGAGGACTGTGTCCAATCCGCTTTCGTCACGTTTAATGCGATCTCATCGAAGCTTTTCAACGGAGAGGAAAGGACGATTCTTCGTTTCAGAAGGTATCCAACAGAAAGGTAAGTGAAAAACGAATCTCGGGAAGGTCGGAACGTTTAAACCATTCCCCTGTCTCACGATTAAATAAAATATTTGCCCGTCGATGTACCGTGGAGTAATTGAATTACGCGGCCCTCACCTCTCTACCGCACCTCCGTCGACTCCGTCTGGGGCGTTCTCGCTCCGTCGACGTGAAAAAGCGGCAGAGCAAATAATACCGAAAAATCGTTGACTTGACTGAAAGGTGTCGGGTGTAAAAATCGAGACGAACGATTTTTATTCGACTCGTGTTCCACTTCGTTTTTATGTTCGACGGAGGAGAACGGTTGGAATTTTTGGTAAATAATTTTTGTGCGAAGAGGTGTCAACTGAGATCTCTATTGAGACATGTATTGTATTTTAGAAAATCTAGTGAGAGAGAGAGATATTACTGTATATATATAGTAGAGAGAGGTATTATGTC